TTTCCCATCCAACTCATCCAAAGCCCAAAACACTTGATGGGGAAGAGTTGATGTATCCTGCCCGTTTCGCACCATATACACTCCAGCGGCAGCGAGAGACTCCAAAAGCGCCCAATCCTCTTGTTGGGGTCGCGACAAAGGATCACATTCGCCGAGTGTACCTTCTTTCGGTACGGGCACTCCTGGCTCCAATGGCCAAGTTGATGACAAATGAAACAAGGCTCCTTCTTCTGTTGCTCAGCCACCCATTTCTTCACGTGTTCATTCCAGGCCGCAGTGGGGCCTCCCGGAGATTCCTTCTGAAAGTATTGCCTCATCTTCTTGATCTCTCTCACTCTATTCACTATTCCGGGCCTTGTACTCCTGGGCGTATATCTCTGCCAAAGGCGAGGCGGGAGTTGAAGAATCCATCTGACTTGCAACATAGACCTCATGCGGGGCGGCTGCAAAGTCTGTCATGTCGCCCGGCTGACTCTGCTGCTGCTCGGTCTTCTCATCTTCTTCTTTAAGAGAGTCCTCGCCAAGCATCTCCAGCAGCTCATCGGGCAACGCCTCAAGTGCATCTCGAAAACGTCGTCGGGCGGGAAAACGAGCACCACCACCCCGGCCCCGTGGAAAGAAACGGCGCGGGAAGCAGGAGGGTCCGATGACGTTGTCGGTGTAGAGGAGGCAGATCCGGGCTTCTGAATGAGGTATTGGTCCTCATTGTCCAATTGGGGCTCCCCACGATCATTGTGAAGCCCCTTCAAACTGATCGGCCAGTTCCAACATGGCCGAGATCACCTTGTCCTCATCTTCCACGTCGCCACCACACGCCGCCTTGAGCAGGGCCTTGCAAGTCCTTGCGAGTGAGCTTAGCCGAATCCAGGAGGTGGCCGACGTAGAAGCAGGGTCCCACACGATAGGCAGGTGAAGCTTCATTCTCCCTGCGGTAAATCTCAGCGCGATTGATGAAGCTCTCAATGCTCTCATTTGGCAGGCGGGCAAGCTTCATGAACTTCTGTCTGCCTTGTCGATCTTCTTGTTGTCCAGAAGGCGGATGATGGGTGACTTCTCCATCTCCCTCTTGATCACATCTACACCTTCAGCTGATGTGACCTGTTCGACCGTGAGGTGCTGAACGATCTTACCGGCCCTCTCCCGAAGTTGCTGCATCAGCCGAGGACCTCGCATCTCCACTGGCAGTGACTTTCCTTCTGATGCCAACCAGAAAGTCACCGTTCTCCAATATTGCTCCCATGATTCTCCTGGTCGAGCATAGAAGATGGGAGGGTACGTAGTGGAGATCTTGCCTGATGTAGTTGTAGCACCTTCCTTGGAGGTACCACCAGAGCCTCCTGCCACCGAGGGTTGCCCGGAAGGGATAGTCCCCAATGGCTTGTTCCAGGCTTCTGTCATCTGCGCTGCCAGGGACATCGGGGAGGCAAGCTGTCCACCTCCCTCGGGTTCACTCTCCTCCACCGATGACAGTTGCCCGGGTGTAACTCGTGGACCATCAGCTCCTTTAGCATGTTGTCCCACGGATGCAGTCCCCCAGTCACCTGCATATACTCCAACACCTTCAGCATGTCCAGCACGTGGGCCTGCAGCCAATCGTCGATCACCATGATCACCACCGGCATATAGTGCTGGCATAGTCCCACTCTGTACTGACTTCCAGGATGCGGATGATTCACCACTTCCCCAAGACCGCTCTGACTGGCTTGAATCAGTCTCCCAATTTTGACTCTGTCCAGTCCATCCCCAATCTTGGGAGCTTCCACTCCAATCACCCGAAGACGAATCATCCCAGCCTGAATCCCTCCAACTCGACCGGTTCCATACCTCATCAGCCCAGTACACATGCCGTTCATGAACCGGTCGTTCAACCCTCTGCCAACTACCGTCCGAAGAGTCCGTTCGCGATGCCCTCGACGAATCCAGCATTGATTGCAACCGCCGCCCCAGCTGCCTCAGCATTGATTGCCTCCGCCGCGCTAGCAGCCACAGACCTAGCTAGAAACCTACCGCCCCTACCGCCCCGGTTTTCGGGGCTCCGCTACCACTGAAAAAGCACGCCGGCTACTTCTTTTCTACCGACTGGAGCCGTGACCAGCTGGAGGAACCGACACTTACCTTCTTGTGTTCTCCTGTTGTTGAGCTTCATTTGGTACCCCCTCCCAAACCAAACCTAGGGCCTTGGAAAAATTCTACACAAATACTAATGAATCCTATAAATAGGTAGAATCTTGAATAGGTACATAGAGAGACGGAGAAGGCAGGGCGGGTGTGTCCATTCGCTTCCTTGGCTTGTAGCCAAGGTGCTGCCAGATCCTTTCTTTGTTCTTTGAGAGCCATCTGTTCTGTGAAAGCATTGGGAATCACTGTGGCGTGTATTCACAACTTGCATAGTCTTCTGACAATAGATCTTCCCATTCTGCAATCAGAATTCTATGTTCATTGTTCTTGTAGTGTTCAGCCTCTACAGTCCTCATCAGAATTCCAACCGTCAAACCTATTTGCACTGCACTGTATTATCATCCAACACTGTATTATCATTTTGCACTGCGAACTGTATGCCTGACCAGCTGGTCAGGCATCAGAATCTTAGCCTAAGGGTGCTAGAGCTGCTGTCAGCAGCTACAGGCAGTCCGCCGGTGTGTATATATAATTAGAGAGAGAGAGAGAGATTCTGTTCTGACTATTATTATATAAGTGTGAAAACACATAGAGCATGTAACACGGAGATGGGGAATGGTGTGGACCGGTTTGATTCTTTGCTTGTTCAAGGAGGGCCACTCTTGCGACACTTCCGGCCGAGGCAAAGACTAAGTTGCACCAGCGCTCCCAAGACACGCGGCACAGTTTGAGGAAGGATGGCGATACCAGCATTTGTACTCAAAAACTGTTCTGGAACCACGCTTATGGTTGGGAAACTACCAGCAGGTTTTCGACGTGCGGAATGTCCAAAAAGGTTGTCTCTCAAGCAAAGTTTCTGAAGCATAGTTTCTCAAGCACAGAAATGTGGAGCTTTTGAAACTTAGTTTCTCACGCACACATAATGTCTAATACGTGGTTTCTGAAACACAAATAGCTTCTGGAAAGGATGTTTCATTGTCGGCGCACCGACAAAACTTACAGTAGTTTGTGAGCAGCAGCTGCTGCGATTTCATTCGCAACCGTACGCATATTGCCCTCAAAAAAATATGCCCTGCAACAGCCAAGCTTGCATTCTCGCACCATGTTGCGGAGGTGTATGCTAAGGTCAGTCGAATTACATCTTTTCAAGCACAATGCTGGTTGTGCTAATCCCCACCTCTTCTAGCTGCAGCTGCTTCATGTCCAAACGATGTCTATCCATGTGCGCCAAAGGAAAACGTTCTTCACCTCAGAAGGCTTCGAGAAATTCTGTCTAAAGAAACACGAACAGGTATCGCAAAACTGAAAAAATAACAAGCTTGAGATGGTGAACAAATCAACTCAACTCAGCCTTCCAGAAGCTCCAGCGTTGTAGTCGGCTCCTTGGAAGACTCAACAGCAGTGACTCTAATGCTTGGCTTCGATTCATGTCTGGCAGAAAATCCGGTCACACAATGCTTGCGACACTGCTCAGCTGGGCTCGCAAGCATCCTTTCGAGGGATGCACAAACAGCTGTACTCTTTGTTGACCTCAAAATCACTAAGCATCCAAGTGAAAGGAAAGAAGGAAGGGCCCCTTTAACAAGGCCCCTCTAAAGGTGTGATTATTAGAGGGCCGGCCCTTGCCTTCTATTATCCATGTCTGTATTTCCTTCTCTTCAATCTCTTGTGTTGTTTGAGTGCCCACCTTGGGGACTTTCATGGATTTGGATGTCCAAGGGAGCGGCTTTGTCAACTCCGAAAATATAGATGTTGGAATTTGTTCGGCTCCTGCTCGAACTATAAATTCCAAGAGAGACTCTAACACTTGCTTTCTTTCATTTGGTTCATGCAAGTCCGCCTGTAAACATCATAGCGCTGGAAGGTGCAAACCAGCTGTGGGGGGCCAAGCACATCGCACATTTCCGAATAATTATGTGCGCTTTGGTCAAAGTGAAGTGTTAAGAGTTCTTGCTAAAGATGTTTCTTTTTTGGTTCGCTAGACTCTATGACTCTATGCAAAACAGTTTTCATGATGGGCCTCAAATCTCAGGCAATTGCACCGCCCTCCAAAGGTCGTGGAGTCCAATTGGGCCTAATACTTGTCGCTCTTGCTTGGGAACCCACAGGAATTGCGCAACTATATATATATATATCAGTGCTAAGAATCCATGTCTTTCTATCCGGCATTTGCTGTCCGATTTCCACATATTCATTCCTCGCATATTGTTTTTTTATGGCTTCCGCACTCCAGAACAGCTGTGAACCTCTAAAGAGAAACACAGAGGCATGGGCTACTGTTCATGTACAGATCACAGCTGTACAGCAGAATGCCCCAGCACATTCCTATGCTCAAACCAGAAAGCCTTGAAAGCGGTTATTCTCGTTTGCCATCAGAGTTCTGCGCTGATCATGCCTTGCTCTGCGGCATTCTGAAACATGACTAACGGTCGCGCGGCTTCGCACGTCGAGACTCGGTCCCAAGCAGTGCCCTGGAAATCTTTGCACCTCTTTGATATCAGTCTAGAGTCATCTAGAGTCTAGATTACACCTATTTAAAATCATGATTCGATCACAAGGAGCTAAGGGACTGCCATGGAATCAACCATCTGGTCGCAGTACCAGCGACTGCGTTGCAATTCCTGGTGCCTGCTCATCTGCACATTGGATATGCGCACGTCGTCACACCAAGCTTGTGCTCCTGCACGCTGAAAATTGCTGAAGAATTACACCCCTATTGGTAAGTCTACTACATTCCGGCGCCTCTGCCCTCGGAAAGCATTGACCTGCAAACGTTGGAAGACTAGGGAAGCGAAGTGGGGATGCAAAAGGATGCAAAAATGAAGAAAGTGACGAACAGTCCGATGGTTCCAAAAAACCAAAACGCAAACACCAGCTTGTTTTGGTCCAATGAGCATGGTGAGTCTGAGTGAGTTTCACTGCTTCAGTGAGATCTCTCGCATCTGGAGGCCTAAGGCATTTAAGAGATAGCGACTCCTCACAGCTCCAAGCCGTCCAAGCCCTATCTTCACGTTGAGAGCACAGCGGGGTTTAAGTGTGGAGGATTGGAGGTCTTGCAAAGTCGACTGTAAGGGATACACAACGCAGCGAAAAAGTCTCCTTTCAAGAAGTGTGCAATTCAGAATGGAACTGTACAGGACAACCTCACTTTCTTCTCTCTCAGCGGAGAAAATGCCACGAGAAACTACTTCCAATACCTCCACAGCAGTTTGGGGTTGCAAATATTCCTCTGCAGTGGAGTGTGCCAGTATCTGGTTTCCAGCATGATGCTCTCGCATGTTCTGAAGAACCATTGCGGAGTGAAACCATTTGCCGGCACTCCGCAATGCCAACAAAAGGCACCCAGTGATTGCGTTGGTCCAGGTACAAGCGTGCCAAAGAAAAAGCGTCCTCTCCCATTGTGTAGTTTCTTGGCAGCTAGCTGCTGCTGAGCCAACAGCAAACATGTCAGATGCGCTGCTAACTGGAAAGCTATTGGTTTGATCAAGACATAAGTTCAAAAATCCCAGCGCCTTTGCCCACAAAGACTTCTTTGCAAAAGCATCCATCAAGGCTGTTCTGCACGCAGCATCAGAATTGATGTCATGTTCGCTCATCTTATCAAGTAGGTGAATGACATCCATCCAACGACCGGCAGCGGCGCAGGTTGTGGCTATTGCCCCAAAGCACGGCAAGTCAGGTTTCAGACGGTCAGAAACCTTTGCCAGGTCAACAACATCCTTAAAAAGTGTAAGTGCTGCAGCCCAGTTCTTGCTAGCTTCACATGCGTGGATCGCAGCTGTAAAAGCGGCAAGATCTGGTTGACTTTTCCACGCATATAGCAGTTGGATAGCTCGAAACCATTCAGATGCCTGGCCACAACAATCCACAACTGCCACAAGAGATTGCACGCTTCTGCTGTCTCCTGTTCTGCTAAAATTTTTGGTGCGAAGCTCACGGAAGATGTGAAGGGCATGTTTCCATTCTCCGGCACTTCGGCAAACATTGAGAGCCGCATTGTACATAATTTCATCAGCGTTCCGCATCTTGAGATGGCCAAACGCCTCACAAATTTTCACACGGCAGTTGTGAATGAAAACAGTTTTCAGTTGTATTTTGTGTGTGTGTCACACCCTGGTTCTAAGGGTTTTCCACCTTTTCACCTTTCCACTACCACTGAGATCGTTCCTTTTCTTTTTCCATTGATGTGAATCCATCACAGGCAGGGGAGTGCGGCGTGATTGTGGGACCGCACTCAACGAAGCTACCACAAT